CGTCACTTCTGTTGAGTTAACTTTTTCAAATATGGCGTGTGTGCGTGCGTGCGCGAGTGCGTGCCCTCACGGATATTCTGCAAGTTTGTCGAGCAGGGGGAGACCGCGGGTTGCTCGTTGTCTTTATAGCGGATGAAAAGATATGAGCATCCTTTCAAGCTCCTTCCAAACTCCCGCTCATTTACAGAGCGTGGCCCCCGTGAGCTCAGAGTAAAGTGGAGAAAGCTCCCCCGCCTCGCAGCGACGAGTGAAGCCACATACAGATTGCCCTCACGCTGCCTGAAAGTAGTCCAAGTGAGACCTGTTTTCGAACACCCCACTGAGCCAGCCTTCTATGGACTCATTGAGTCATTCCAGGAGCACCAGGCTGGCTGTCCCACTTTTTTTTTTCTCTCTCTCTCCAGCAGATATCACACAGACTCTCTGATATCTGCACACGCTGCTCAACTTTCCTCGCCACATGTTTGACTACATAAGCAATCGGGCCAACCCTGTCCTCTCATGTTTATTAACAGGGTTCACTCTTTGGACTCGAGCGCGACTCCCCCCTCGGGCCCGCGGAGGAGCGTGGAGCTGCGATGAAACCGAGCAGACAGTCGTGTGGTCTTGTTCTCTCAGGAATCAGGAGAGGCTCCTTTTCTGATGTGTCGTTTTACACAACAAAATAGATCGCGCCCGCGGTGCCGCTCAGCCACGGAGGCTTTCGGCTCTCTTTAACAAGTCGTTTCTTTAAAAAAAAGCTTAAATAAAAGCTTGTCTCATTAACAAAGGATAATCTAATTTCTGATCTGCAAGCTCGGGGGGGATGAGCAGTAGCAGCGCCGCTCTGAAGGACACATCGGCAGGGAAGTAACAACAATTAGAGCTGCCAGTCAACCAAAATGCCAATTGGTTTTGGATGAGTTGTACAAAGGATACAGACAGAAGAGATGACTGAGGGAGAGGGGATGATGTATAATCACACCACAAACATAAATCTGTGCTTAAGTCAGCTTAGCCACAGTGTAAAGACATTGGCCCCTTTCACACAGCCTGGTCCGCCTCTCTTCTCTGTATGAAAGGTACGGAGGCAGAATGTTCCACCACTGAGCCGGCAGCAAAGGTACTCATAGAGCCGAACCTACACTGTCACTGTGAAAGGATGACAGCATGCACGACATTTTGATGGCCTGTTTTTGTTGTGCCCTGACCAACGGGAAACTAACAAAAAAAACGCTAGCCGCAGTTAGCAGCTCCTAACCGATGAATAGCAGAAGATTGGGGAGACAACGAGGTCCGGAAGGTCTCTGAGATATCTGAAATCACACACTGAGGCGGCATTGTCCCGCAATTGTTTGGTTCAGCATGAAAAAGCAAAGTCGGCATAATGGCAGACAGTCTTTGCAGCCGTACTGTGTAGTCTCTGTGTGAAAGGGGGCTTTTGTTTTGCACTCGTTGCAGCCTTGAAGTAGAGCTGGGTCGCTTTACCTCAGACCTCCACACATACAACACTTACTTCACACCTCACTTCTTTGTGTCTTTCTAGTGCTCAAACAATGATAATAATTCATTCATTCATTCATTCATTCATTCATTTATTCGTCAAGGAGCAGGAAATTAATTAACTTTTGGTTTTTATCAGGCAAAAATTCTAAACATGGTGAATTGAATACCCTGTGTTTTTAGATTGATAAATGGACAAAATGGTCAATTTTCAAGCCGTCTCCTAAAATACAACTGCTAATGTGCAACAGAAAATACATTTTGAAACATCAGATAAATTATGGCATTTTCTATTGACAAAATGAGGAAATGTAAAATAATGATGGTAAATATATTTGCAATATTTGATCTTGCAATACAATCTCCACTCATAGCATCCACAGCATTCTAACACCTATGGTTGTGTTCAGGCACTCAGCACTCGGTTAAGGTGAATTGCGTAAAACAGCCGTGCCCAAACAAATCAGTGGTATATAAATGGTATTTAAAGGAGACAGGTGTGCAATTTGAGGTTGCAAGCTTACAGTAAATCCTGACCTATGCGATGAGCATTTTTTGTTGTCTAGATTTAGCACCTCCAAAATGTAGGCTGCATGCTTGTTAAACCACAATGTTTCATTTTCTATTTTTACATGTTTTATTACGTATGTAATTAGTAAAGTAACGTTATAATTGTTGCATTAATGAGTGATTGGTAACTTTTCCAACTAACCTCCTGGTAGTACTCCTTGTGACAGGTAAACTGATGTTGATGTGCAGAATCAGCCACCATTACCGCTGTCCTCTTGACTAAAACTAAATTCCACGTATCCACTCCTCTCTAGGCTGCTCGGTGATGTGCAGCAACACATACTAATACACGCCTTAGAAATATTGGACTCGGCATGCACAAGATCAGCTTCTCATTTGAAAAGATTCAATTTAAAGATGGCCGTCCTGCACAGCTTTAGAGATTCTCATTTTGAACTAAATTGACAGCATCAGGCCATTGAGCGCGAGGCAAGCACAGCACACAGGGGAAGATGATGTTATGATCTCGCTAATGTGAATCAAAATGAAATCCAAGAGTCCGTCCCATATCGGAGTGGATGCTGCAGTCTATCCATTATGTAGTGGTTCCCTGGTTTACTATAAAGAGATCCGATAAGGCTCATTAGATTGGCAAATGGCATATGAGGCATTCTGCGCAGGAGCCACGCATCATTAGAAATTCCTAATGCCTTGCCTATTTCCTGGTATTGATCTAGAAGAAGCCTTAGGTTAAAGCGGCCTGTCATCTCACCGCTTAAAAGACAAACATAGAGAGCCATTACTTTTTCTATTGTTAGGAGAAGTTGACTTCAAAAGGGCGAAAACCTCTGGTGGAGTCTGAGGCTTGGGGGGGAAGCGGAGCAGGGCAGGTGGAGCTGGAAGGAGAGGGGGATGCAGGGATAGAGAGAGCACTCAGAGAGATGGGAGATGAGAGGAGTGGAGAGGGGAAGCCCTTTGATCTCTGGCAGGAGCGAGCTCATGGAGAAAAAAAGAGACAGAGAGCAGCAAAGAAGATTGCAAACAAGGCATGCACTCAATTCCCAATAGCGGCGCGAACACGAGCAGAAGAGACAGACGGAAGGGAGAAAGAAGGAGAGAGAAAAGTCAAGCAGATTGAGCGAGACAGAGATGGAGAGAGAGGATGACAGGGTCAGAGAGAGAGAGAGAGAGAGAGAAGAAAAGAAAGAGGATGAAAATGAAGTAGAGGGAAACAGATAAGACCAGGATGTTAAAAGGATTTCAGTCCGGGGGCTGTTTGGGGAGTTCTCTCAAGTCCTATGCTAAAGCAATTAGCATTGAACCCCCTTCTAGGAAAGTGCAGCCAAACCACAGCGGCAGTCTCTAACATAGTTAGTGTGTAACAACCAAGTCGAGCAAACCCCACGGTCCCCATTAAACCTAAACTTTTAATTGGCGTGTCAGGATGGTGCTGCGTTTCGCAACCCGTGAGCGTGCGCTCTCAGAAAGAAAGTCGGCCCAGTGAGTCTGCACGTCCCGCTTCAAGTGGAAACCCAGAGACAGTGAACAGAGCTGCTGCGCTGGATTAAGAAGGCCTGCGTAGCGTGATCACAAAAGCTCAGCATTAAATGTGAAACGGGATGTTTCATAACATCTGTTGCCAACATGGCTGCGCTGTTGAAGAAAGGGTTGTGTACGCCTTTGTTGTCGGGGAGTTTACTTGATACCAGTTCCTTAAGTTTACAACCGTCAAACTTTTTTGTTTTTTAAAGTGAGCCGATGTAATGTTTGTTGGACAGTAGAAATGATGACATAATGACAAATGATAAAATATAGAGTAATATTAGCACAGGGAGTAAAGACACCTAGCAGACGGCTCCCGCCTGTCATTCAAAGTGGCCACGCCCTTAATTATCCATTAGACTTTAAGCGTAACTCAATCTGTACAGTAAATATGAAGCCTCTGCCAGCAGTCGGCTAGCTTAGCTTAGCGACAGGCCTGGAAACAGCTTGCTTATCTCTGTCCAAAGGTAACAAGATCTGCATTCTAGCACCTCTAAAGACCTCTAAGCTAACCGGCTGTTCCATGGTAGCTTCATATTTACAGACTTGAAAGTGGTTCCAAGCTCCTCATGTCACTCTAACGAAATAGAGGAAAGAAAGGCAATAAGCATAGCTCCTAAGATGTCGAAATACTCCATTAATTATCAGGCCTTATTAAAGGTCTTTGTTGCTGCTTGACTGAAGGTTTTCTTAAACACTTGAGAACTTTGATGGGAACTTTGAGAAATTTGGTTTAGCCAATAATAGGAGAAAAAGAGAGGAGGTAGCAGAGTTTTTTAAAGCATTCAGCATGGGGACACTGATTTAATGGTGTCCCACAGTTCCTGCTGACTTCCCTGGCCACTCGCTCACTTCCAGCAGTCACCTGCCTCCTCGCTGTTTCAGCTGACAGCAGTTGAACCCCAGTGTCTCCAGGTTTTGACGATTCACTGACGATTCATTGACGAAATCACTGTTGCACTGCAGTGTTATATAGCGCACATCTGTTAGCCAGAAACCAGTCACACCAGTCTGTCTGCTCTGACCTCTCTCATCTGCGAGTGCTTTCCCAGGAACCCACTGCTGACTGGTGTTTTTTCCACTCTGTGAATGTAACAGACTTCGCCGACTGCAGTGCGCCAAAATCTCAGGAGGCCGTCACTTTCCGGAACAACATGTCTGGCACCGATAACCATGCTACATCTAAAGTCACTTTAACCACCTGTCTCTCTGCCTTTCCAACATTTAGTTGAACAGCAGCTGAGCGTCTCTTCCCTGTCTGCGAGCATTACTTCTGCTTTTATTTTATTTTCTGTGTGTGCGACTCACCGTCTGGAGGAGTGGGCCCGCTGACGTGAACAGGGACTCGTAGCCAAGAAAGTGGATACTTAGTGTGCCGATTTCAGGACAATGCAATTGTGATGATGTTTCTTTTTCTCTCTGTGCCAGTTAAAGAAAGCAAGCTTGAGACTGTGCTCACTGCTTACCTTGGAATATGGCGGCATTCTGGATGATGAGACGTTTGAGTTGAGCACTGACAACCTGCAGACCGGACTCCAAGTTGCTGCGTGCGGCTACCTGATACCGCTCCTCCATTTTCTTGGAACAGCAGGTCGGGCCTTTGGTTTGGCAAACCTGCAGATCGGCACCTGGCAGGGAATCAGCAGAGACAGGACAGGAGGCTGGATGAGCGCAAGGGACAGGAGCTGCAAAGACACTTTTGTTTGATTTTCAAAAAAAACAAACAAAAAAAACAAAAAAAAACAGAAGCCCCTCTTCCTTCACACACAAAAAAGATTCAGCCGCATCCTCTGCATGCTAAACACAGCAGATTCTGCAGCCTTAATGAGCGCGCGATCGTTATGTAGAGGGTGTCGTATTAGCCGGGCCGGAGTCAAAAATAAAATGCTGCTGAAAAATAAAAGAGGCATTTTGATTGCACATTCAAGTGATACACCAGAGCTGTGTTGTTGTCCCCGGAGATCAATTTGGTCAACAGAAAGTTTCCCCAACACTCCGGGCTACACTTTTCGCACGGAGGATCAAAAAAAAAGAGGATTTTTTTAGGGCACAAAGATGAGAGCCAGGAGCAGATCAGCATGCACACAAACAAACCATGGCTTCAGAATACGACATTGACAAAACAGAGAAACATTGAAGGTGATGAAACAACATTTGTGCACCTGGCCACTGACATCACTGGTTGTTTACGCAGGCGAGGAATAATTAGTTTCTTTTGAAAAGGTGCAGATGTAAGCCAGTTAAGGCAAAACAAAGGTGACAAGGACGTTTAACTCCGAGGTAGCCACGCACCAACCGGATCAAAGGAAATTAATTCAATTTGAAAAAAAACAACCAAGATCCCAGTGAGGAGGGCGATAAAGACGACGCGGTTAGAAGAGAGTCCGATTGCGAGGGGGCCTCAGCTGCTGCAAGGGAACTGCAGTTTTGTGTGACGATGCACGGCGGGGCCATCTTCTACAAAGAGCCCTCCCCTCTCGTTTTATTACGAGAACATGCCTCTGCTGTGGCGGTCATGGCAACGCTGTACAACATGTATCCTAAAAGAGACTTTAAACGTAGTTCAATCCAAAGTTGCTGTTACCGGTGCCTTTGCAAAAGAGGGAACTACTCAGAATGTATGTCGCAGTTCTCACGATTCTGTGCCAGAACACATCTATTGAAAAGAGAAAGGTCCAGTGGAACACGTTTCTACACACAAGCTATACATTTTACAGCCTTTTCCCAAATCGCTCCTCTAAAACGATGCACATGCAGACATCACACAGACATAAATAGGCCAAAACCATCTGATGTTTAAATACAAAGAGGAGCTCCCTCTCCTTAGTGCCTCGCCCCCTCCCTCTCCCCCTCTCCCTCTCCCTCTCCCTCTCTCTCTCTCTCTCTCTCTCTCTCTCTCTCTCTGTTCCGTGTGGCTGTTCAAAGCTTCGGCTGTAGTCGTAACGTGCCAGGCTGCGTCTAGGAGTTGTCTGCGGGATCCGCTGCTGCCTGAGAGGTGTCAGTGACAAGGGGCCTGATGGAGGGAGAGGTAAACAAATGTCAGGGGAGTCTGCTGGTTGCGATGCAGGGGATAGGGAGACGAAGCCTGGGGATTAATGTATATATTTGTATAAAAAGTCTTGACAACAAGTGTGTCAAAAGAAAGGCTTTTGTCGAGACGGAGGGTTTATCTTAATATGAAAAGTGAATGTCTCTATTTGAGGATTTGCCTCTCTGGGGTCTTCAAACAATAGATCCTCAGAAACAAAAAGCTCAGACTGTAACAAAGAGAGCAGCAGGCATGGAGAGGAAGTTAAACTAGCAGGAGATCAGCAACAGAGTGCCAGTCCTCATAATTAACAAGTGCCCCCCCCAACTCACTCCCGCTGCCCATCAGGGTTTGAGATGGAGAGTCTAATGAGTGAAACAGGCAATAAAACTGTCACGCGGCACCTTTTGTATGCGCACTGACAGCCTTAATATCTTAAATCAATACCGACAAAGGACTCCTGACAGATAAGATCAAGCTAATTTCAGACTGCTGGGGCTAAATTATTAAGCTGTCAATAACAGCGCCATAGGTGAGGCGAGCGCGCGGCCGGTGCTGAGGGGGGGAGACGGGGATTTAGCAATTATCTCCCGCAAAACAGACAGTCGCATCTGCACGTTTGTCGTGCAGATGATAAATGTGTTTCATTACAGAAGTTCCACGGTGCTGAGGAATAAGTGAAGGATTCGACAGGAAAAAAAAAAAAAAAAAAAAAAAAAAAAAAAAAAAAAAAAAAAAAAGATTCCCCGTGGAGCTTCACAAATAATAAAAGCCCACCGTCTAAATAAAGCCTTCTCTCTGACTGACTGATCACTTGGGAACCAGCTTCCTGCTTCTCCTCTTTGCGTTAGGCTCACCCCCCCTCTCTCTTTTTTCATACAAATATATTCCCTGTCATCCCTGCACAGTTTTGTTCTGAGCTTGTTTCAGTCGTCCTACCTTGAGCTTAATAGCTACCGGGCACCGGCGGCACCTTTTCCCTATCAGCCCCGTTATTGGCTAATTAGTCGATTCATTTGGTGTCCCGATGGCCACTTCTCTCAAACACAATGAAGACAGACAAGGTGCGAGGCCGGGAGCAATCTAGATGTAAATCCCCCCCCAACCCCCCTTCCAACATGCAATCTCGCTCCAAGGTGACGCCTTTTAAATTATTACCTCCTTTCAATCAATACTCTGAAGCGGACCGTTCAACATGCAGAGCAGCTGCCGAGCTCTTTGAATGGCTTTTTAAAAACGCATTGATCGCCCTCCAGTTTGTCACAGCCCCTTTTTTTTCATCCGACGATCCTTTTATTGCTGCTTGGCTCGTGAAATAAAAGTTTCTGTTGAAATGCCAGGGGTGAAAACTCCCACAGTCCTGTGTACAGAGGGGGGGGGGGAGAAGAGAGAGAGAGAGAG